AGTTATAAGAAAAAAATCTAATCCACTATACCTAACTGATGGGCAATTCCAGACAGAAAACGTTGTTACGCAGTTTGATCTGCACCAAGTTGCAAAACAGGAACCTTAAAGAAACAGAACCATGCTCTGCAATTTTATCAAAGCTAAAAGAAGGAAATAAAAGTTGTCCTCTAAGAAGTAAAAACCCGAGTATTCTGAGTCTTACTTATTGCCTGTGATAATTTGGGATTGCTAGTATATGATTGTTTACTTCTTTGAGCAGGAAAATGTTAATGGCATGTGTTTTAGGCCGGAGACATCAAACAACTCTATAAACCTCTGGTCTGAAACCCTTGCCTTGGCTGCTGCAAATCGCTGGTACTCGTCAAAAATAGAAGACAGGCACCATCTCTGTAGTTTTCTTATGCATCCTACAAGACATCCAGTGCGGTGCTGGACAGGGCATCGATGGAAATAACTGAACCTAGTTAGTGGAACTCATCCATGTAGAAACCTTGGAAAATAGGAGACCATAAACTTACCTTCCCTCGTTTGCAATGAATCAACAGCGGTTGGTTCTTCACATCTGGCATTGTAGAGTCAAGAATAGACATGAGCAGATGGCAAAATGAGAAACCTACAAGCAAGAGACATATCAGGTAGAAATTCAGGTGTTTGTCACATACCAATAGCTACTTTGAGTGCTTCCCGAATCGTTTCCTCTGGAATGTTTACAAAAGGTTCCTGTACAGAGTCCACAATTATCAATTTGATTATATTTTTTATGAGCATTCAGTCAAAAAAATTGAGTGAAAACTTTCATGGCTAGTCTGCAGAAACAACTAGTTAAAATAACCAAGAATTACATGGATGTAACTGCTTTAATATGAACGCAAGTATCAACCAATTAATTTACTTCGTCAATACACATGAAAAAAGCAAATGCAGCAAGCTGGATCAGGGAGAGGAGAGGTTGATTGAATGAATTTCTTGCCATAAGTTACAGCACTGATGATAATTGATAAAAACATTAGTTTTTTAGCAAAGTTGTCAGTGTTATTGCTTAGTGAGGGAAAGTGAAACAACAGAACTACAAAAATATTCCCCAAGAACAGGGACCTGTATCCAAGAGAATGTGAATTGATGCATGACACAAACACCGTGTGAAGTGAATTACAGTTCAATCAATGTATTCTGCACCAGCAATATCCACTGCATTTTAAAGAGAAAAGAAAAATACACAGAGCAGAGCATTTGACATGTATCAAGATGGAATCCCTTGTATACTATGAATTTTAAAACTGCCCATCAGATGTGCTTCTCCTACAAAATTAACAGGTAACTTAAGAACCACAGCAGAAACCACTAAAGTCCAGGTGAAGATAGATTTCAATTTCGAAGAAGCATTTTTGACAATTTGCCATTCCTTCTCAGTTTTCCTGCACTTAGTTTGAGAAGTTGTTCCTTCTGGTTTAGAAGATAGTCTGGGTCCTCTAGATTATTCCATAGGCTGCTTTACATTCCATTATTCTAAAATTGCAAGGTTCAGAGAATTCACATTGTGACAACAGTAAATTTTTAAGCAGGTCCTCCAGAAAATTAAAAAAAAAAAAAAGAATTGATCTACCCTCCTATAACAAATAAAAAAATTTGTCTAACCTTTGCAATGTTAAAAGTACAATAAATATATTTTTTTACAATTAATTCACATAAAATATTATAAAAGTTTACATATATTTTAACATTATTAATATATAAATGATTTTAATTAGTTAATTAATTAAATCAAAATCAATATTTACATATTTAATAAAAATTAATTATAAAAAATATATTTATTATACCCTTAATTTATACTTAAAAATACAAAATAGAAATATCTTAAATAAAAAAATATTATATATCAAATTATATAAAATTATCCATTAATGGGATAGGTCCCTCTCTCCATCCAATCAATGCTCCTATT